GGAGCTGGCTCCGCCATCGAGGGCCCCTTTCCTCACCTGGGCAGCCGGTGAGCTGGCTGTCCTTGGGTCCCACTGTACCGAGGAGGACATGGAGTCCCACAGCATAAATGGGTCCCCCTCGGTAGGGACCTGCAGGGTTCCCTGTCCTGCTCTCAGGCCTGATTTAGAGGGTGGAGGAAGGGGCATGAAATGCAAGGAGGGAGGGGGACAGGGAAGGGGAGAAGGAGGACAGGTTGAAAACAAGAGGATGCAGACTTACGCAGTGCAGTGCTCAGCATGGAAACCACAGGGCTTCTAGCAACTTCTGGCCCCCATACCTGTACTGCCACCACCGACAGGACCTCCACGGAGATTCGATTAAATTCATCAAAACAGCCCCAGGCACCGGTCTGAGCAAGGCCCTTGTAGATGTTGCCGCAAGACTGCAATGAAACGTACAAAGATTAAATGACTATCATGCCTGGCTTATCAATACACACCTAAGTCATTTCCATCCTCTTTATCATAGATACTTCCAGACCCCTACAGACCCCGGGTTAGGAACTTGTATTAAAATTTCAAGACAATTAAATTTTTTATGGCTGTGGGTGCCAACAAAAGTCACAGGATCAAACAGAACCTTTTCAAGACACTTAGAACAAAATCCCTTTCAAATGTCATCGGGCTTGCATTACTGTTGATTCTGTAGCTTTCAAAATCCCAGGAAATGAATAAAATATTTTCTTGCACCAGGCAGACAAAAAGTCTGCCACTCAGCCTTTGGCATGTGCTGATGAAAAAGTTTATGTCTGTATCTTTAAAGCCCTGCCTGAATGCCCAGGTTTCCAGGGCAACAGGAAGCTGGAGGTGGGGCAGGAGCGATAACATCTATAGAAAATAAACTGCAGGTAAGTCTTTCTAATGAGAGCAAGGAAAGAATTTCAGAGGGCAGATGTGTATCTGTCCTAAAAATAAAAACCATTCTGAGCATCCTGCATGAACTAGTAAACCATGGAGCCATAGAACCAGAGAGGTTACTGGCCGACACTCCCAAGGTCATTGGCAAGGAGCTATCATGAAAGTGCTGGGAAAACGCAAATAGTAGGAGAGCCCCATTCATTTACTGAGTGGGCCTTGTTTGACCACCAGCTCTGCACAGCTCATGTGCTAGGCTCAGGGGGCTCGGTTTCTCTAAGAACTTCTGGTCAGGTTGTGGAGATAAGGTGCACAAAGAAAATAAGTAAATTGCTACACAAGCAGCGGTGCCGAGGGACAACATAAGCCACCAAGGTTACAGACAAGTTCAGAGGAATGGGTCAAAGTGCCCAGGAGTAATCAGTTTGGCCAGAGGTGAATTTCAGATAACATTACAGCAGCACTTTCCAAAGTTTGTTTCACGGAATGCCAAACCCGGAAGATGCTCCTTGAAGCTGAGGCTCTTTGGTCAAGCAAATCTGGGAAACACACATTTAATAACCCAATTTACAACATATATTAGCATTTTAAGAGCCCCGAGAAGTCCTGCACAATTAATTCACTTCAACTGTTTTAGGTGGCTGGATTTTTCATATGGACTTTGTTTCTCCTTATGTGGTCCCTGGCTTTCTCAGAGTGCACTCTGGCAAACATTAGTGGAAAGAGCACAAGAACAGAAGTCACAAGATCTGGGGCTTGGCATCCGACAGAACCATATGGTACCTTCAGAACATGCATTGGAAATGCTGGCTTGATGGGATAATAGTATCCGTGTGGGCATAATGGGAGGGGAGGGCTTTCCTGGCAGAGGAAAGATTATGAGCAAAATCATGATGTTTCCACAGAAAAATAAAGGTGAATTTCAGCTGGAAAGTTGAATTACGAAAGAGGGTCATGGCTATGAAAACACTTGAATTATCAAAAGGAATCTTTGGAGGTTTGGAACACAGAAAAATATCATTAAATCAACATTTTTAGCAGAACCTGTCTCACATTGCATATGCTAAGTTGGATGTGGGGCAGACTTTGAAAAGAGAGGGAAGAATAAACACCACCTTTTATTAAGCTCCTTGAATTCAATGATTCCTATATTGATGCAAATGCTTACTGAGTCTGTATGATGTGAGGGGAACTGTACTAGGTCCTGAGGAGCCAGCAGTGAACCAGGGAGACAAAGCCCCTGTTTCCATGGGGCTTACGTTCTAGTGGGGAGACCCGACAATGACACAAAAACAAGGCCGTCAGATGGTAAGTCCCACTGGAGTCTTAAATGAGGGTGATGTGGCTATTTCAGATGGAGCATTCACATCTCAGTGATGGCAAAGCTTTTGAGCTCAGTGCGTCAGCATTTTGAAAAACCCTAACTTAACTCTGGTGCCGTGTCACATATAGAAATTTTTTGATATTTGCAAACATAGTAAAACAATGACATATTTTTGATATTTATTTTATATATTTAAATGCCATTTAACAAAGAAAAATCAACCAAAAAAATGAGTTCATGTGTCACCTCTGACACGCGTGTCATAGATTCGCCATCACTGCTCTAGGAGGTACTACAAGTTCCAGGCTGGCTATTGCTATATTCATGAGGATATATGTATATATAACATTTGAGATATATAGTAATATCTATTATTATATTTGGAATAACAACAACAACCTGGCAAATGTCACACATACTTAAGTGGAAGTTCAGGAAGCAAAAGCTATGCTTTCCCACATTAATGGAGGGTTTTTAAACATGTATGTTGTTGAAAGTATTACACATGTTCCCCTTTTATCCCCCATTGGCACCCTCCACCCCACGCCTGACCTGTGCCCAGGTCTTTCCCACAAGATTGTCTGCCCACGGGCTATGCATATATGCATATAAGTGACAGCGTTTTCAGGTTGTGGCTCCCTTTCATCAAGTGCATACCCAATATATAAAATGGCAAAAGGTAGAGTTTTCAGAGGTAGATACTTGGCACTCCTGCAGTCTTTCCCCCTGGGGGCTTGTACAGAACCCCAGGACTCCGCCTGGCCCTATTTTTGAACCACCCCCACTGTACAGTGGCTCTAGGCCAGGGGTGGGCAAACTTTTTGACTCGAGGGCCACAATGGGTTCTTAAACTGGACCGGAGGGCCGGAACAAAAGCATGTATGGAGTGGTTGTGTGAACTAATATAAATTCAAAGTAAACATCATTACATAAAAGGGTACAGTCTTTATTTTTTTAGTTTTATTCATTTCAAATGGGCCGGGTCCGGCTCGCAGGCCGTAGTTTGCCCACGGCTGCTCTAGGCTGTGGTGTTGCCTTGCATAAGGTGGTGAGACTCTGGGCTGGGGTGAGGACAAGAAGAGTAGGGTTGAAGACCTGGAAGCAGGAGGCCTGCTGAAGGAAGAGTCAGCATTGGCGACTGATCGGAACTACAGAGGGAAGGATATGAAACTATCAGAATATCTCAGAATTTCCACCCTGGACCGCAGAGAAAAATGAGATTATTCATATTAATGCAGAGGTGGGGAACGTCCAGCCCGTGGGCCGTATAAAGCCCTCGAAATCATTTGGTCTGGCCCTGCCAAGGCATTAGGGATGAGTAAATTACATGATTGATCAAATATAACAGGCTAATTTTTAAGTTGGTAAGTTTTTATGACCCAGGAATGATGTTATAAATATTCAAATGGCCCTTGGCAGAAAAGAGGTTCCCCATCCCTATATTAATGGGTCGAGGAATCTGGCCTGGAGGACGACAGGAGTTAGCAGGTACTTCCTGGGAGGAGAGTGAGAGCCAAGTACCAGGCGAGGGCATCTGAATGGAGACCCCCACCGACCAGTGAAGAGAGGACGTAAGCTGGAAGGCAGGTTAGGGCGCCGTCAGTGCCCGGGTAAAACTGGAAAACATGAAAGAGAATCAGAAACTGAAACTCAGAAGGAAGACCAGAGAGGAAGGAGAAGGTGGAAGTTTAATGTTTCAGAAATCAAGCGAGCAGGTTCCAAGGAGTGGGTGTTCCACGGGGTTGCTGCTACCGGAAGTCAAAAAGAACCCAGAGAGTTTTAGGTTCCAAACCATTCGATGCTTCAGCAATAGCATCTCCAATCTGAGGCCCAGGGGGAAAGTCTTGGTGCTAAAATATAAAGAAGACACGAGCAGTCAAACTGCAACCGTTTCCAGAGAAAGTGGCTAGTGTTATACGTTTTCCAGCAGCAGCAATAAAGCAATAACTTTCCCTTTTTCCCAAGTCTCTATACCGGTCTGTGCCTCCACCCTCCACACCCCCCATCACCAGATGCCTCCTAACAGGATTCCTGTGGCAGAAGGACTGTGAGGGTCCTTGACTATGGCCCCAACTCCCCCCTGAGCCCTCCCGGCTTCACCACCCACGCCTCCCCACGTGCACTAGGTATTATTCAATCTTTTAAAAGCCTCTCATTCCTTCTTCTCCAGGTTTGCTACCCCATCATCTGCTCCTCACCCTCTCTGGCTTGAATAACTGCAATGCTCTTACCAAAAAGTTCCTTTCCTTCCAGTCTCCTCCTGTCTCCATTATCTCCCGTCCAGGAGGCTTCCTTGAATACCACTTGTTCTCATCACGCTCCTACTTCTGACCTCAGCCCTGAGCCCGGGAGGCCTGTCTGCAGCCCGCAGGGCCTTTCTGCAGCCCATGGGGCCTTTCTGCAGCCCACCACTTCAAGGTAGGTCTCGCAGTGGCTTTGTGTCCGCCCCTCCTTATTCAACCCTATCTTCTCTCTCCTCTTGATCCCCAACCCACTCTCTTGTACTCGGCCACTGTTCTATGCTCATTTCCAGCTTGCTCTCTGGAGATACACAAACAGAATATGTTGCCGTGAGTGTCGTGAATGACATAACAGAATGCTGCCCTGTGACAGCTCTTCCTGACCCTCCTACCTCTCCTCCTCCTAGCCGCCCGTGAGGAGCGTTCAGGGGGATCAGACCCAGGGGCAGGGGAAGGGCATTGACTGCATAGAAAACTGGGCTGTGTTAGATCATACATGCCCTGTTTGGCACTCCCCCAAATGTTCAACAGCCTTGGGGCTCACACCCTCCAAGGCTCAGCACACTCGGTGGTTCTCCCGCTACGCTGGAGCATCCAGGGCTCAGAGTTTGTGGAACACACATCAGCACTCAGGGTAATGCTGGCTGGTGTCTCCCCTAATTTCACGCCTCTTGTCTCTCCAAGTGGACTGGGTTATGCCCTATCTACCTGTCTATCTATCATCTGTCTATTATCTATCTATCTATCTATCTATCTATCTAGAGCATCCAGGGCTCAGAGTTTGTGGAACACACATCAGCACTCAGGGTAATGCTGGCTGGTGTCTCCCCTAATTTCACGCCTCTTGTCTCTCCAAGTGGACTGGGTTATGCCCTATCTACCTGTCTATCTATCATCTGTCTATTATCTATCTATCTATCTATCTATCTATCTACCTACCTACCTACCTACCTATATTTTTGGTATCCTCCCATGATGCCTAGCACAAGCTGAGCAATGGTGATATTCACATTCCCTGGATTGCTGGAGTGAGCTTTGTGCTGAAAGTAGTCTGAATCGCTGGACAACAAAAGGAAGACCAGGTTGGAGAACAGCTTAGTGAGACTGGTTACCAAGGATGCTTAGTGTCCAGGAAGGGATGGGATGACCATCCTTTTGGGGTGCTTCCCTGTGGCTATCCCCACTGATGGTACTCTGCCCTGTGTCTCGTCTAGACTTACATGGCCAAAGCTTTGCTCACTCCTTAGTGAGACTGGTTACCAAGAATGCATAGTGTCCAGGAAGGGATGGGATGACCATCCTTTTGGGGTGCTTCCCTGTGGCTACCCCCACCCCCAAGGACGGGTATAGAGACTTTGGGGTACTCTGCCCTGTGTCTCGTCTAGACTTACACGGCCAAAGCTTTGCTCACTTTTCAGACAAACTAAAGATAGACTCCCCTTCTCACACTGTACCCTTAGAGCAGTGGTTCTCAACCTTCCTAATGCCACAACCCTTTAATACAGTTCCTCATGTTGTGGTGACCCCCAACCATAAAATTATTTTCGTTGCTACTTCATAACTGTAATTTGGCTACTGTTATGAATCGTAATGTAAATATCTGATAGGCAGGATGTTTTTTCACTGTTACAAATTGAACATAATTAAAGCATAGTGATTAATCACAAAAACAATATGTAATTATAGATGTGTTTTCCAATGGTCATAGGCGACCCCTGTGAAAGGGTCGTTCGACCCCGAAAGGGGTCTCAACCCACAGGTTGGCGACCCACAGGTTGAGAACCGCTGCCTTAGAGGAATCAGTGGGTCAGGATTAAGTAAGAGTTTTAAAGGGATTCGGTTAAATGGCCTTAGTGACCCCTGGCTGTGGGCCAACTCAGCTGTTCCCGTTTGCTAGACCTGGCATATGTAATTACATATGTGTTTTCCGATGGTCTTCAGCAACCCCAAAGGGGTCGCAACCCACAGGTTGGCGACCCACAGGTTGAGAACTGCTGCCTTAGAGGAATCAGTGAGTCAGGATTAAGTAAAAGTTTTAAAGGGGTTCGGTTAAATGGCCTTAGTGACCCCTGGCTGCGGGCCAACTCATCTGTTCCCGTTTGCTAGACCTGGCGTGACAGAAGACATCGCTGACTTTCTTTAATCAACATGTCAGGTCTTCACATCTACATGAGTGTGTCCTCCAGAATGTTCCTCCTGGGAGAGCACACTTATTTCAGCAACATTGCTCAACTATGGAAGAATATAAAAACTTAAAATAATCTTTAAGGCGAGCTAATTTCATTAAAGGGGGGAAAATCTTTCTTCTTCCAGCCTGACTTCAAAGGAAACATTATCTTAAAGTGTTTAATCAATAAAAGCAACCATGTTAAAATTCAGAGTGTGTAGACTAAGGAAGACAGTTATCTGGGTCTGCATCCTATTTTGTTTGCTTACTATGAGAAAACATGGTGCTATAGATTCTACAATGCTCTGCACAGCAAAATTTCATATACAGGAGAGATCACTAAAGTTACCAGAGGTGAACTGCATTTGAAGCATCTAAACGTGGTAACTGCAAGTATTATCTTGCCATCTCTAAAATTGGTTTTAAATTCAATTTATTTTGCAATCAATACACATGATTTTTGCACATAAATATTTAATCTATTCTTAATGCATTTGGTTTATTTTTCTACTCTCAATTTATTTACATGCTACCCTGTTATAAAAACAATGAGACAGCAAGGCAGCGTATTATTACAGTTTTTTAAAAAGGAATCTACATAAGGAGAAGAGGCTGCTGGCTAACAGTTCCCTAATGGGTCCTCTGCTTGGCTCCGTGTCACAGAGCCTGAGTGGCAAGTGCCTAAGTGAAGAACATTAGCCTTGTACTTGCCTTGTGTGGGGGTCTCTTGCTAGTAGGGAGGGGTTAATCTAGTCTGTCTTCAGAAGTCACACCTGCCCTTACAGAATATTTTGCCCTTGTGGGTATTCTGGGGGAAATGACCATTTTTACAGAGGGGCACAAATATGATTTTTATGTGATTTTTATTTTAATAAGACTTTATATGAGCTGCTTACTAGTCTTTCTGTGGTTCTAGGTCAAACAGGAAATTTAGGCCTTTGGATATATATTCGGCTCCTTCATTTTACAGATGATGATAGGAAGACCCCAAAGAAGGTGAAGCAAGAAAACCGTCTGTGGTTGCAAACCTCCTCAGAGGAAGCAGATTCCATGTGTGAGATTTACAAGGTCAGTGAGCTCCAAGAGAGCTGCTTACTAGTCTTTCTGTGGTTCTAGGTCAAACAGGAAATTTAGGCCTTTGGATATATATTCGGCTCCTTGATTTTACAGATGATGATAGGAAGACCCCAAAGAAGGTGAAGCAAGAAAACCGTCTGTGGTTGCAAACCTCCTCAGAGGAAGCAGATTCCATGTGTGAGATTTACAAAGTCAGTGAGCTCCAAGACTGTCCTAGCTGGTTTGCTCAGTGGATAGAGCGTCGGCCTGTGAACTGAAGGGTCCCAGGTTCAATTCTGGTCAAGGGCACATGCCCGGGTTGAGGGCTCAATCCCCAGTAGTGGGCATGCAGGAGGCAGCCGATCAATGATTCTCATCACTGATGTTTCTATCTCTCTCTCCCTCTCCCTTCCTCTCTGAAATCAATAAAAATATATTAAAGATAAAAAATAAGCAAGCTCCAGGACCAAAGCCCCGAGGTCTTCTGTGGAGGAGGGAGCAGAACTCTCCATGTCGGGGCCTCTGGGCTGGCCAGGGTGGCGTGGATAAGGGGTCCCTGGTTTGGGCCACTGCCCCATTCCTAGTCCCTCCCAAAGCCAGGCCTGTACCTTGTAGTCCATTTGCTCTGAGCAGTTAAACACGTAGACCATGATGCCCAGCGCGCGGCCCAGGTCCTTGGTGGTCTCCGTCTTGCCTGTGCCTGCAGGTCCCGCTGGAGCCCCACTCATGGTCAGATGCAGAGACTGGGTGAGGGTGATGTAGCACCTGCGGAACACGGGGGCATGGGTAATTGCCAGGGCCACGGGTGCCGATGAGTAGCGCTGGCCCAGCCAGGTCCTAGTGAGAGAGAGCTGGGAGGCCCAGGGGAGGCCTGGCAGCTTCCAAAAGGAAACCCTAGAGCCCGCCCCATCTGCTCCCCACAGCGCTGTGGGGAGGACTTTCTAAAGGTCACCTGATCACGATGCCCCACTCTGCCAGGCCCTTCCCAACCTTGCCCTGCCTACTTCTTCAGCTCATTATCAGACCTCCCCTCTCCCAAGCCCAATGCTCTGAGTCTGTTCATGTACAGTTATTCCCTCACCCAGTGCTATGGTCTGAATGTTTGTCTCCCCGCAAACTCATAAGTTGAAATCCTAACCCTTGAAGATGACGGTATTAAGAGGTGGAGCCTTTGGGAGGTGATTAGGTCATGAAGCTGGAGCCTTCATGAGTGAGATTCATGCCTTCCTAAGAGGCTGCAGAGGGACCCCTGTCCCTGCCATCGCATGAGGACTCAGCGAGAAGGAGCCATCTACGCGGCAGAAAGAGGCCCTTCACATGAACATGACCAAGCTGGTGCCTTAATGCTGGAATTCCCAGCCTCCAGAACTAAATGTCTGTTGTTTATAAGCTCCCTAGTTGTGGTGTTCTGCTCCAGCAGCCTGGATGGATGAAGATACCCAGACACACGAGAGCTATGCTTGTCCCTCTCTCCTTCCCCATCAGCCCCCGAACTTCCAGTCTACCTGGATCGAGTTCCTCTTCAGTCTTTGCCCAGCTGATGGCTACGAACCCCTCAGGGCTCATATTTGTCTTTACGTCTCCCGCTAAACATCCCCAGACCTCTCAACATGGGGGAGTGAGCAGATGTGGGTTCCCCCTCAGCAGAGTTCCCACTCCACTTACAACCATTACATGTATTTAACACACGTCTTTCATGCAGATCTTAATAAGATACATATAGGTGGGGTTACGTCTTACCATTTCATCCCCAGAGAGTAGCACATAAAGGCCCTTATGATTATTCTAAATCAAAGAAGCAAATTCATAAATGAATGGCTTGATCATTCAGTCTGTTTAATCCTCCTGTGACTATTTTTACTAATGACAATAAACTCAACTTCAAGCTTGTTTTTGACACTTAAAAAAGAAAAGACTTGTCAGCCTGGCCAGTGTGGCTCAGTTGGTTGGAGTTCTTCCCGTGCACCGAAAAGGTGGCGGGTTCGAACACAGTGGGGATGCATGTGGGAGGCAACAGACTTGTCAGCCTGGCCAGTGTGGCTCAGTTGGCTGGACTGTCTTCCTGTATACCGAAAAGGTGGCAGTTCGAACACAGTGGGGATGCATATGGGAGGCAACTGATTGTTTCTTGCTCACATCAATAGTTCTCTCTCACTCACTCTCTCTAAAGAAATAATAAATAAATAAATAAAACGTATTACCATTTAGATGGAAGTGTGCCATTGGGTAATAAGCACATGAAAAGCTGCTCAAAATCATTGGTCATTAAAAATGTAAATTAAATCCACAATGAGATACCACAACACACCCACCAGGATGGCTGTAATAAAAAGGCAGACAAGAACAAATATTACCAAGGATGTGCAAACATTGGAAACCTCAGGAATTGCTGGTGGGAATGTGAAGTGGTACAACTACTCCAGAAAACAGTTTGGCAGTTTTTTAAAAAGTAAACATTACCATATTGTCCTAGGAATTTACCCAAGGGAAATGAGAATGCATGTGCATGCAGACAAACTTAGGTAGGAATGTTCACAGCAGTATTTATAACACTAAGAAACTGAAAACAACCCAAATGTCTACCAATAGTGAATGAGTAAACAAAATGTGACATTGCCAGGCAATGGAACATTAAAAAAATGAAGTACTGATACAAGTGGCAACAGGGATGAACCTTAAAGACATTCTGCTAAGTGAAAGAAGTCAGACGCAAAAGGTTCCATGTTATGTCATTTCATTTATGAAATGTCCAGAAAACACAGGGACAGACATTAGGTCAGCAGCTGCCTGGGAGGGGGTGAGAGTGTGGACTGACTGTGAATAGGGGGGCAGTGTCCTAAACTAGGCTGTGATAATGGTTGTACAACTTGTGAATTTACTAAAAATCATTGAATTGCACACTTGTAATAGGTAAACTTTAAGGCATGTATATTATACCTCAATAAAGCTGTTTCAAATGTGCCATTGGCCCCATTTTTTTATACCTGGAAAATCAATACCTGGGCTCCCAGCCTGCAGGTTGGATAGGGAGGAGCCATGTGAGGGGGCCTCTGCCATGAGTTCTGTTTCTGAATCTGAGATCTAGAGTTAACCCCATTCATGCAGATGGTGACTGGGTCTCCACTAGAACCAAAATGGTTTGAAAAGACTTGAAGTGAGCTCCTGACCTCCTTTAATTCAGTGCAAAATTCCCACATTTGCTTCAGCCTTTGAGAGTGAACCCTAGAAGGCAGGTTCCCTAGGCACAGAGGAGAGGGGTGCTGATTTTTTCTACCGGGAGCTGGAGCTTTCCCGTGTGATGGAATGTGTTGGCTCAGCTGATTGGAGCATGAGCTGCACTTAACTCCTGATTACGTGGGCTCACACAGCTGCCTCACTCTCCCCTGTGGACTCACTCACATTACAGTTGTTGCTCAGTCAGGCGGGCTCCAAGGCCGGGTGAGTCAGGTCCAGGGGAAAAATTGCGTCTCATTTCCCTGGTTCTGTCACTGTAACCATTTGGCAGTATTTCCTTCCTCTCAAGCATTCACAGTTAGATCTTCACAAAGTCCTGTGTGTAGCCTTAACCATACCTGCCCTCCTGAGCTGAGTTCTGGCTCCAGATCAGCCCCTGTGCCCTTCACCTCTTCCAGCCTCAGGTTTCTTCTAGAACTACTGGGGCCTGCCACAACTCTGAACCTCCCAGGAGGAGGGCCAGCTGCCTGGACTGGTAGAGGCCGGACCCCAGGCAACTTTCCTCCCTTCTCTCTCTCTCCTTTCTGTCCCAAGACTGTCCCCTCCTCCACCAGAGGGCAACCCCAGCCTCCTCTCCCTGGAACTGGGGCCTTTCCAAGAACAGTATTTCCCTCTCCTGCATCCAGGATCACAGGGTTTCTCAAAAATAGAATTCTCACAGAAAACTCCAGAATCTCTCAAAAGAAATCCTCAGAACTGGGTAGCGATCTCTTTTGGAGCATCTATCGAACTTCTGGTCATCTTCTGAGGAAGCACTTGGGGGAAAATGCTAAAATATGCGCCTCCCCCTTAATTATCGAACTCCAGAGCTGGAAGGGACTTCCCAGATCAACGAATCCAACCCCTTTATTTACAGACTAGAGGCCCGATGCACGAAATTCATGCTCAGCCCTCACAGCCCCAGCTGCCTCATGGCCCTGCGTCCCCCCCACCCCCCCCCCCCCGCCCACTGGTCGTTCTGGAAGGTTGTTCTGCCATCAGGTCTTATTAGCATATTAGCTCTTTATTATATAGGATAGACTGAAGCTCAGGAAAAGAACATGGTCTCTTTAAGGGGTTGTAATAACTAAGGCAGGGCCATGAAATAGCTAAAGGGCTATGAGGAAAACCCAAAGAAAAGAAGGAAACAGTATTTCCCTCTCCTGCATGTGGGTCAGCGTTATGCTCAGGCTCTAAGCCAGCAGAATGTCCTGTCCTTGGGGACACACGCTCCTGCTCTAAGATTCCATCTGTGTTCTTGATAGATTGTCCGTTTCTTTCATCACCCAAGCCAACTTCTTCAGTATGCGCCTGTTTCCCAGTGATGGGGGCATCATGCTACAGGGCAATGACTGCCATCACACAGGCTGGTCCAACTCTTGCCTCTATGACAAAGTGTTTGTGAAATTTGCCAAAGTCATTAAAGCTTAGTGCCTTAAAAATGTGTGATTGGGGTCCATTACACAGTATTTTCTTTGTACAAAGCAATTTGGATAAATTTGCTGCATTAAAAACAATAGCAATTGTGAGAATGGCAAGTAATCCTTTAAGACGAGCACATGTCTAACCAACTAACCCAGTGGTTCTCAACCTTGGCTGCACATTAGAATCACCTGGGAATCTTTTTAAAATCCTGATTTTTGGGCCTCATCCTCCGGAAATTCTGTTTCTTTGTTATGGGTGGGGCCACAACATTAGTAACAAAGAAACAGAATTTCCGGAGGATGAGGCCCAGAAATCAGGATTTTAAAAAGATTCCCAGGTGACTCTAATGTGCAGCCAAGGTTGAGAACCACTGAACTAACCTAACACGGGTCCATTCAGTTAGCTGTTTATTGGGAACACGGACCCTTTGGTGCTGGAAGAGACCTCAGAGGTTTGGCTCCTTTTCCTTTTTCTAAATTTATTATTTAACATGTTTTCTGATTTATTTTATTTTATTTTTAAAATATATTTTTATTGATTTTTAGAGAGGAAGGGAGAGGGAGAGAGAGAGATAGAAATATCAATGATTAGAGAGAATCGTTGACCTGCTGCCTCCTATATACCCCACATTGGGGATCAACCCACACTGGGGATTGAGCCCGAAGCCCAGGCATATGCCCTGACCAGGAATCAAACCATGACCTCCTGGTCCATAGGTCAATGGTCAACCACTGAGCTACACCATCCGGGCTCTTTTTTTATTGACTTTAGAGAGAGAGGAAGGTTGAGGGAGAGAGAGAGAAACATCGATCGGCTGCCTCCTGCATGCCCTCTACCGGGGATCAAACTGGTAACCTGGGCATGTGCCTTGAGCAGGTATCGAACTGGCGACCTCTGGGTACATGGATGACGCTCAACCAACTGAGCCACACAGACCAGGGCAGAGGTTTGGCTCTTTCCCCATGCCAGGCTCTCTCCCATTAAAGCCTTCAAATACATCATAGGATCCTGTAGCTTTTCCTCCCAGCAAGGTATAACTTCTTATTTCAGAAGGCAGCGCCTTTCACACTGGGTCAGCTTTAGTTGTTTGAAAAGACTTACTAGTATTGAGCTGAAGTCTCTTGTTT